CACATTGTCGTCCTCCTCCCCGGGGGTTGGTTCTATCGGAAGCATTACAGGTGTGGATTCATTTGACAGGATGAGCAACTCACCTGCCATTGTCTCTGCTGAGCTTGTCACCCATATTCTAGGACAGCTGTGCAGACCCGGAGTTCCAACCAACACCGGATCGAAATTGGATCAGTTGTGTGGGAATTTTATTAATCGCTTCTTAACCTGATACCACCACCATCATGCCCGACAACTTCACCTGTAGTGTTTGCAATGAATCATTTCCCTCTCGAAGCAAACATGATTCTCACAAAAAAAGAGTGTGTCAGGAGAGTGGCACAATTGTAGACAGCTTTGGAGAAACAATCACACTGACTTGCCAGGATGGCAAATTTTACTGCCATTGTTCCAAGCATATATCCTCCCCAAAACCCTATGCCACCATTGATGGTCTTTCTAAACATTTGCATACTGCCAAGGCTGCATGGATTGGCACAGAAGGCACAGTAAGTTATCACCTTTTATTGGCTATGCTCACAATAATTGTTTGTCCATTCTTAGGCAATACACTCTGTTCCTCCCACTGATCTTGGGAGTGGAGAGATTGTTGAAGAAACCCCTAGCATTCAGGTAAGTACAATAGTATATGCATCACTTGTATTGGCCTCAATAGTTTGAAGTCACAGGAACAGGAACAACAGCAAGGGGGGGAATCCTACCTGCAGTTACACTCTGTTGCAGTAGGCTCTAAGGATGGCAAGGGCAAGGGCCAAGTGGTAGAGGAGCAGGAGCAGGAGCAGGAGCAGGAAGGGGAAGGGGCCAGTGAAGAAGAGTTATACTCCTGCCAGTATCTACCCATGGCTGTGAACTATGAGGAAGAGGAGGAGGGCAGTGAGGAAGAGATACATGAGAAGGGCAAGGGCCATTCCATTACTATGAATTATGAGGATGAGAGGACTGAGTGGATTGACACAGGATGTACAGTAAGTCATCACCCTCTAATATCTATGCTTCCTATGTATAATCATTGGCCTTCCTTAGGCAAAATATTGTATTCCTCCTACTGAGCTTGTCAGTGGTAACATTATCACAGAATCTCACAGCATTCAGGTAAGTACACAATGCATGATCTGCCATTTATATTTGCATGAACAATTTGAAATTAATGTCACAGGAGGAGTGGCAACATTCCCCTCCTGAATTTTGTTCTACTGCTGCAAATTGTGGGGAGGACAGCCACAGGGAGGATGATGAGAGTCTACCTTCTTCCATCCATTCTGGAAACTATGACAGGAAGGGAAAGAGAAGGGTCGTGATGATAGAAGATGAGGATGAAGGTGGAGATGAGGAGTCAAGACAGGAAGAGGAAGAAGAAGAGGAGGAGGAGGAGGAGGAAGAGGAGGAGGAGGAGGAAGAGGAGGAGGAGGAGGAGGAGGAGGAGGAGGAGGAGGAGGAGGAGGAGGAGGAGGAAGAGTGGCAAGAGGAAGAGGAACCCTCTTCTGGACTAATTCATCACCCATATCTGGCCACCATCAATCTTGCTGTCAACTGCAAATACAGATTCCTCATCTGTGAAATATGCATGGAAGCTGTTGAAAAGACAGAAATCCAGGGACACCTTAAAAATAAGCATGAGAAGGAAAAGTTTGTGGTTGACCCTATCCAGTTGACCAAGGTGGTAGAAGATTTGAAAGTGGTGCATCCCTTGCCCACCATTCAAGGTCCATGTTCTCCTGTGATAGGGTTACCTATTGTAGATGCATTGGCATGTCAATGCTCAACTGTATACACCTCTGAGAAAAAGATGAAAACACATCATAAGGAGGAGCATAAGGGCAAGCCAGAGAACTGGCATAAATGTAAAGCACAGAGGTTGTGTGCACAGGGATATGGTCCACATTGTCACCTTTGGGAGGTAGAGCCCATGCAAGAGAGGGAATGTTTGTATCAAGACCTAGTGAAGCAGCTGATGAAAGAAAGTGAACAGGAACTAGAAGTAGTGGTATCTGCCTCTGATCCATGCACAGTTAGCCCTTGGCTTCTGAAAACTGGTTGGCATAAGTATGTGGCACAGAATTCTATGGCAAAGGACATTGTAGGCTGGCAGAAATTGGTTGCTCTTCCTACTGTGGAAGACATAGAATGGAAAGGCCTTAAAAGAGCTACAAAGGCTTACTTTGAAGAGGCTGTAGATGCCATAAACAATACAGACACACTAGTGCTGAAGTATCTCAATTCTCCTGACCCAGTCAAGTAGTAAGTACTCTACAGCCTCATGAATTTATTAATAATGATTTATGCTAATATTTGTCTTTGGACAGTGGCATATCCAATCAACCCTTTCAGCAACACATGCATGCAGGGACTATGAAGAAATACATCATTCCTATCATTGCACTCCTTTGCATGTCCCTTAGAATGCATTCCTCAAAACTGTATACCCCATATGAGGATGTAAGGAGTAAGATCACCCAGCTTCAAGCCATGTTAGAGAATGATGAGGAGCAGTATATAGTGATCAAACAAATTCACTATGTACTCCTGGGATTGTGGACAAAAGACTGGGACAACAGGACCAGTGGGGAGCCAACCATTGTTGACCCCACTGAGCACTGTTTGGCACTTCTCATGCTAAAAGAGAGTGGGGCCTTTAAGGAACCAAAAGAGCTCACTTCCCTCATCTCCAAGTTCAAGTATTGCATTCATCTCACCTTCCTGTATGAAATCCATGATAGGGTCAATAAGAAGGAGAATAAAAAGGAGGTCTGCAGTCAACTTCAGTGTTGGTTCACTGAAAACAAGTACTCTACTTTTGCCTCATTGTGCTCATTGCAGCACATGGCACTGCCATTGTCTATGCCACCCCAGGACTACCAAGAATATTATGGGCAGATACTGAAAATTGGAGGTCACTCTACTACAAGGGCAACCATGTTACATTTGATGAAATATGCCAGATATTCCAGGAAACTGAAAAGAAACTGGTTAATATATGGGAGGAACAGGTTCTTGGGGGTCTTAGGCTTTCCACATCCTGCAAGTCTATTGTGGATGATCTCACCAACAAGGATGTTGGCTACTCATTCCTTTTTGATCTCAAAAATACTGCATTTAATGACCACACCATGCTCATCCACAAGATCATTCAAGGGGAGGGAAGCTTCAAGGGATTTGTGTTGGTTAGGGAGGGGAAGTTAAGATGGAATGTGGGAGCACTTAGAGGATGGCTACAGGGCTATGCTGAACTGCAGAAGCTCCTTCTATTGAGAGCAGCAATGTTGAGTGGGGCACCAGCCAGAGGTACTGAGCTGACTGCCATGACCTATGCAACACTCAAACATGTACTACACACAATTTGATGTGTATGGGTGGTCATATTGCCCTTGTCTGCCAGTACTCCAAGACAACATCATTGACAGGACAGGACAAGTTTATCCCTCATGGGTTAGATGCTGTCACCAGTGACATCCTGCTTCAGGACCTTGCCCTTGCCAGGCCCTTTGCAGAGATTGCAGCTGCAAGGTGCTTTGATGCCCCCATATCTCAGTTATACAAGAGTCACTTGTTCATCAACTACAACAAACTGTTTACCTCTAATGTCCTCTCCAAGGTATGGACTACCTTTTCATTGACTTCAACAGACTGATGGCCTATTCAAGGTTATGGCTCAGTACAGTACTCACCTTAGCTTTCCTCTCTCCATCAATTCCTGGCAACATATGCAGACTGCATGGAAATGCAAGTTCAAGTGTTCTGAAAAAGAAGTCATGGAGTTTGACCAGGCAGAGGATGTTGATGCCTTGCAAGCTGGTCATCTGTGTAGTACAGAGAACTGTATCTATGGCCTCAGTACAACTGCCCTTGCTGGTGCTGCAGAGGATATCCTTCCTCTCTACCTTCATGCCAGTACAACTTGGCAGAAGCATTGCAAAGTTGTTCCAGGGGGAGATCTTTTGCCATACCACAAAGCTTCCTCCTATTTTGCTCAGACCCCTGTTGCTGAACAAGCCATCAATATGGATGATCTTGCACAAAGGGTAGCAGCACATCTTGCTCCTCAGTCCAGCACCTCAGCTGTTTTGCCACTTACCCCTTCACTGAATATGGATGACCTTGCACAAAGGGTTGCAGCACATCTTGCTCCCATGATAGCAAACATGGTAGATAAGACAATTAAGACAGCTGTGACCTCATTGATTGAAAAGTGACTTCAATGTAGCCTACCTCTACCCCTAGTTTCACCCTAACTGTGTTTACAAAAACATATAGATCAAAAATGACCTCATTGTACATAGATTACCTCTGTTGATATGCTTCAAAATAAAACCAGAGCTGCTTTGCAGTATTTGACCATTCTCCATGAGAGTTGAAGCACAAAGCTCAGGAAGATGGGCAAGTATTTGAGATGGTTGTGACAAAATCACTCAATTTGAGAACAGTTCACATGGCCCAGAAGAATAGAACAAATGTACCAATGGCACACCTGAATCTCAGTGGTGTGTTCCAGAAAGCAGAGGTTATCACCTACCCACATAGCCCACCCTAGCACATGAGGGCAATGTCTCTTTGGAAGATCAAAACAATAAACCAGCCTGTTGACAAGTATGCATAAGATCAATGCTTAAGTGGAAGTAAGAGTATGCCATTGATATTGCATGTCCAATGTTCCTATCCTTCAGGCAGTGCACATCACCCTTTGGTATCAAGACAGCAGGACCATTGAATACAAAGGGCTATTGATGATATGGGCATCAAGTTAGGTAACCCATGCCTACTAACCTCATTCATATCTTTGCAGATACCAACATCTTCCATACCCTCAGTCCACCTCCACTGCCTGGTCTTCAGGAATGAGGCTGACATATCCAGCCCTTGGGGTTGGAAAAGTCAACCCAGGAACAATGGGCCAACAGCATCCTTCATATTGGCTGAGACCTGCTCTTAAGTTTGAAAACTGTAACAAGTTCAGAAACTGACATACATACATAAAGGGTACCTGCACTCCTTGTTGAAAAGTCTAACCAGACCAGGGATTGAACCTGGGTTCTCCTATCTGTGCTGGGGGTATGCTACCACTACACCACCCAGCCTTTCCACTAGTTACAGTGCAGATTCCCAAATCCAACACTCCTGTGGTGTGGGCCCACTACAAGTGCCACCTGTGCTTGGTGGGATTGAGTAAAGAAAAAATTTGACCATATTGCAGACCACTGCTCCTGATATGTTCCATGTTAAGTAAACCCCAACCATTCAACACAACATACTCAACTCCATCTTGAAGAGTAACTACAAGCAGCTCAAACTTGATGACAAGGTCCATGCCATTCCACTCACCAGGTACTAGTGCAACTGGTGCTCAGCTGACAGGCTCACTGAACTACTTCTGTAGGATACCATCTATACCTACATGCATGTGCATGACACTGTCCTCAGAAAACAAATTGGCCCAAGTTACCATCCAGAGCACTGACATCAGATGGGTGTCCCCAAGAATGGGAAGTTAGCAATCCCCAAGACAATAAGTGTGTACCACATCTGCACTACACATCACAACAGAATGTGTAAGGGCATGAACAAACAACAAAACTTACTTGAACAAAATCATCACACTCTTGGGAGACCTGCACTGCAACCCTACCAGTGCAGCAACCCTTAAAGTCTGGCTTTGCTGTTGTGTCTGGTGGGGAGAATGTCCAAATATCACTGATGTTGGGGCAGCAGATGCCAATGCCATGTTCTCTGCATATGACAAGTATGAAGCCACTGGTGAAGGTGGTTCATGTGCTGAGTCAGTACCCAGCCAGCAGCATTCAGAGATCCTGTGCACCAGTAGTCAGACTCTCCTCCCTCTCTATGCTGTCAACAGCTGTAAATGGAAGGGCCACATCTGAGTGAAACTGGGAGGACAAGTAATCATGATGATATGGGCCAAGGTACACATGATGTCCAAAAATCCTGGCATGGGCATGTCCCAAGTGCCTCTGATATGGACACCACCTAACATGACCCTGTTTGTTGCCCCCTCTCCAGCCATGCCAAGATCCATCTGCTCAGGCTCATGGGCATACCACCAAGTCTGCTCATATTGAGAGACAGAATGGCACTATCCCCAGAGGCGATGTCATCCCCACCCAAGCCCTCCCCCACACCTCCACCCAACTTGCTCATGTTGAAGGTATGTACATTTGGTGAAGCATGGCAACTTGCACCCAGTGAGGCAGATGCCCAAGTCGTGCTTGACCCAGAAGACTCAGATTCAGGAATGGTGCATCATGATGGTGATGGTTACTGTGACTAGTGCTGACATAAGATGCTTGAGAGGCATGGGTATTTGCAACTGCAGTGGCAGATGCATCATGGCAGGAGACCCACACAATTGGTAGCTGCTCAAATTTCATCGCATTGCAGCACTGAAGAAGCTAAAAAGGACTTACTAGAGGTCACACCTGTGATAATGCAGAATTGACTATGAGGGCTTCCAGAGAGTTGGATGTGTGGGTGTATGTGTGAGTGAATGCATGGGATGTGGAGGGATTGAAGTGTCACTTGGGCTGCATGGACGGATGTTTGTGCTGTGTTGAGATTTAGTTGTGGAGAGTCCAATGCAGGCAGGAGAAATTACAGTACAAGCCAGCCACATGCATTACAACTCAGTTCATCTTTCAGTCCACATCTCCACAAAGGGGTATGTGTCACACCACAATTCAAATATGCAGCTTTGACCAGTCCACCAGCTCCATTTATGCCATTGCCATTTACATACCTACTGCCCAGAGTGCTGACATTGTTTGCAACACCTGACATGCCTGAGGCAGTGGAACTGGGACTAGTCAATGACCATATCAAGTGTGTGGATGTCCTGAGTGTCAGAGAGGGATGGCCACACATCCCAGTGCTATGTCTGGGATTGGGTGTTTGCATAGGAATGGCACCTGCTTTGGAGATAGGAAGGGAAGGACCTTGGACATAGAGGTACATATCAGTGACATTGATATTTATGTGTGCATGTACACACCTGTGAGGTCTTTCATGCCTATGTCATTGTCCCTCATGACATTGGCTGTAGTATTGTTGTCCAGCATAGATGATGTGGAGGGTGTCTCTTCATTGCAGGAGCCAAGGAGTTCAGCAAGAGGGAGTTCGATGGCTGGCCTGAGGATACTCCAGGTGTGGTGAGATGCAGAAGATTGAAGAGCATGTAATGTCTTCACAGGTGTGGTCAACATGGAGGATGCTGATAGCAGAGCTGGAGGATGGGAGAACAGTCAGGGGAATTTGAGGGTTGGCTGTTGTAGTTCATGCATGGCAGAGGATGGGTGTTTTCACTTAGGGGATGCCACGATTGGAGACAAGTCCTGATTGAAGACAAGTCCTGATCGTCGATGCAGTTATCACCTGTGACAGTGTTGTAGTTAGATGAATGGGTAGCTTGACAGCCACAGCTGACATGTGCAGGTCTTCGAGATCGGGGCTGGGTTTGAGATCAGGTTTGCTGAGTATGTTGCTTGGCACTGCAGGGGGGGCTGATCGACAGAGAAAGTGAACAGCAGCGCTTGATGTCAGCATTCTGACTAGCATCACGACAGGCCAGCTCATGCTCAGCATGAAAAATGATAGCTATCGGAAGCTTCACACTTTAAAAAGGGTGCTTTGGGTTCCTCTATGCTCCTGTGGGGGAAATGAAGTTGTGGATTTGTCTGACAGGATGAGCAATGCACCTGCCCTTTTCTCTACTGAGCCTGTCATCTGTATTTCTTGGACAGCTTTTCACATTTTGACTCAACATTGCTAGTGACAATGAGTAGGAACTGAGATTTCAGCATCTCCAGGAAAGATCTTCAAGCCACTGTCCTTGTTTGAGGTAGCTTGCGACCTTTGTGCAGACCTGGAGCTGAGTGAGTGGGTGACAGGTGGGCTGGAATGTGTTGTAGGCACACATCTTATGAATGCTACATGCATCGTAAGGGGGACAAACATACATGAGCCAGAATGCATGCCATCCTGGGTGGCCATGCAAGATGAGTACTTGAGTGGTCAGGCCTAGTCAGGACTCCTTGTAGCTGATCAACCCAACTGGCTCAGTGTGCTAAGTCCACTGATTAGTATATGCTGAGTACATTGTACTTGTCAGGATGTCTAGTCTATAAGCCAAAGAGTTGCGGGTATGTGTATAGATATATAATGCCTCAAGAGTCAATCTACCTACAATGCGGATTCTTCTTAGTAATACCAGACCCAGTTTTGACTGTCCTCATTAACTGTCCACTGCATCTAATGGAAGATTGACTGCTGATATTGGGCACATGATTGGGCGAGGGGTACGAAGAGATGGGAAAAGGAGGGGCAGGGGCATCTGGAACAGGTGTTGGCAATGGAGGAGGATTGACATGATCAGCAGAGAGGGCCTGTAGCACTGCAGCCTCATCAGCACCAGGTGAGTTCTCACCACCCTCCATCCTAAGCTCCTCTATGATTTTGGGATCCGCATTGTCCTGATGTCCAGCCATTGCAAATTGCACATTGTCAGCTGTGTTGGCAAGCAAAGTTGTCTCCTTGGCTATACTATCCACATCAGGGTGAGTTGTCTTCTTCTTCTTATGCCCTTTGGTAGAACATGGGGAGTTGGGGGCTGCATGCTTAGGGATGCAAGATGTTTCCTTCATATCAATGCTCCTGCTGAGCTCAGTGCCTTCTTCCAAAGTTGAAGGGTCATTGCCACTGGAGATTTCTGTGAAGACTTTGTTGGAGTTTAGTGCTGTTGAGTACACAGCGAGTACTGATTACATAATATTTCCATACCTGTCACCCGGTCCTTTTTCTCCGTGTTCCTCAGACTTCGTCCTACTTGAAGACTGAGGTAATGTCATTCCTTCATTACTGTACTATATTTTACTTACCAGTTGAGTAGTTTACACTCCTTAGGTTGGTTAATATTATATAGACTTCGTCCTACTCGAAGACTGAGTTTACACTCCTTAGTTAAGTTGCTCTCACACTTCGGACACCCTCCAAAAGGTTATGAGCCCCACTCGTGCATAACTTCAACTCAAGAGTACACCAGTCTATCTAAGCCTACAGAATGTCCAACCCTTCTGCTTCGACTGCAGTCCCTACTCGGGCACCAGCATCTACAGCACCCAGCTCCACACCTACCACTATCTCGTCAGTGAAAGCCAAACAGGCCTCAAGCCATCTCTATGACATTCTGTCACTAGAGGATGACAGCTCAAACTTCCAGACATGGAAGGTCCAGATCTGTATGATACTCGACGTACAAGACTTGTGGGATGTCATTGGAGGAAGCACAACTACTGTGCCTGATCTTAAAAGCGACCCAAATGGCCATGCCGACTGGTTGATCAAAGACAAGGAAGCATGCGCCCAGATTATACTCACGTTGAAGGACGAACCCCTCACTGGAGTTCTCCATGCACCAACAGCAGCAGACATCTGGATAAAGTTGTGTCAGCGGTATGAAGGGCACAGAAAGCAGACTATTGCCTATCTCATAGGCGAGCTCTTCTGCGGCACACTCTCAGATGACAGTCCCATGCACAACCAGCTCAACGCTATGTGGCAAAAAGCACGCATCCTGAAATCACTCGGTCAATCTCTTGATGACTCCCTTGTAGCCATCGCTATGGTAATCTCGTTACCACCCTCTTATGCAACCCTTCACACAATTCTTATGTCTTCAAATGACAAGCTTTCTATCGACTCTGTGATTTCCCAAGTGCTAATTGAAGAGAAGTCACGACAGCTTGCTTCCAGCGGGCAAAGTGCACTTGTCACACACACATCTACAAATCCAAGGTCAAACATGAAAGATGACAAGAAGAAGCTGAAATGTGGGTATTGCAAAAAGAAAGGTCACAGCGAAGATGAATGTCGTAGAAAGAAAGCCAACGAGGCTGGATCAAACTCAGCATGCGAACACAAGGGAAAATCAGGAGAGAAGGAGAAAGACAAACATTCAGCAAATGTCGCTCAAATATCCTCTGTGCACAATGCGCCACTCCGCCTCTTCATAGCTCATACACACAGCCATATACCAAGCACGCACTGGATCATTGACTCTGGGGCCTCTGCA